AAAAAAAAACAAAACAAAACAAAAGAAACAATACTTCGGCTTAAGCCTGTATGTGTGTAAAGCCATATGCATATGGGTATCAGGCATAACAGTAGTAGCATCTCATATTCCTTTTCAACACATCGGTAAAGTGTTAAAATGGTATAAAAAACGTTTGAGAATATATTATATGATCGAAAAGCACATTTGGCCGGCAGATGCAGTCTTCTTTAACATTTACATGGTAGACGCATAACAAACCGGAACTAACTTGAAATGTTAGTTTGCGAGATAAGACTAAATATATAAAAGAAAAGTGCTGCCAAGTCGAAGTTAAAATTTTTGTATGTCCAAAAATATACCCAAAGATCTTATAGAGAAAATTAGTATAACAACTTGTGTACGGTATGGAGAACGTTTCTCTAAAATTATGAGAAAAACTTATTAAACAAAAGAAAAAAAAAAAAAAAATAATAAAAAAGAAGGAAAAAAAAAACAAAAGAAAATTTTCCGCTGCACTTTCACGAGTTTAAGAGAATTCCTTGTGTCAGTGATTAGTTGAAATGCTGCGATCCAACATTTCGAACGGCCAGTGTTCATTTTGGCGGCATTGGAAACGGGCGCGTCTGGTATCTGGCGTACGTGTTCAGATGGTGTTTTTTCAGTTTGATTGTTTGTATTATTATTATCGTTATTATTATTACTATTATTATTATTATTTTTTTTTCTTGTTGAACTGATTTGGATCTGATGCCAATTATGAGTTTGTGTTTCGGTGGGTGTAATCAATAAAACTCTTTCGGTGTACATAGGCGAAATCTAATGAAAAGGCTACCGCTAGACCTGAAATTTGTATGCTTGTGCGTATCAAACTAACTAGATAATACACGATCGTGAATAATTGAATTTTTCTGCACGAAAAAAAAAAATATACATATAATTATATATATATATATACATATATATATATATGTATATATATACATAAAACAAAAATAAGTGAATAAAAACATGACAAGAAGAAGAAAACGAGCCTACGATGCTAAAGCAATAGTTTTCCAAATACTCTTCGCATTGTGTGTCATTGTTTGTTAAAAATCACAGTAAATATTTGCATTCAAAAGCAATAGTAACCGCAGTTTATCTTAATTAAAAATCATCTTATTTAAAACAATGCAGAAAAAAAAAAACAAAAATTAATTTCAATAAACCTTAAAGAGACGCTAAATATAAATTAAAAAAAAAAAAAAAAAAAAAAAAAAATACATTATTATCTAAAAAAACAGAAAAATGTAAATGAACACAACAGAGAAAACGTGCATAAATTTAAAAATAGATTTTGAAATTTTATGTTTTGTTGTTTGTGTGGATAGACGAGAAAATGCGTTGGGGGGCTTTCTTTCAAATTTCTTACTGTTTACTTAGGTAGAAATGTGTGATTATTACTATATATATATATATATATATATATATATATATATACGTATATGATTTTGTATTTGTGTGTGTGTATCACTTTTATTCTCCTTTCTCACAATGTCTGTATGTTTATCAATTTCCGCTAAAATAGTATTCGAAATTATTATCTGTCTGTTGTATTTCTTTTGTTTTCATTTTTTATTTTTTTTTTTTTTTTTTTTTTTTTTTCGTTTTTTTCATACCTGTTCTCACCTGCCATTTTTCCAGTATCCATCTTTCGTTAGAACATCTGTTGAATAGTTTGTCCATTTATACTGCACACACACACTTTTTCTAATTCTTAAGAAAATAATGATTAGTTATAAAAGTGTGGGTTTTTTCTCTTCAAAATATACTTAAGTCTTACAAAATTACTTTCATCATATTCACTACCGATAGTTAGGGTTGCTAAACATATCTGCGCGTTCGGCACTCTATGTTTTGCACACTGTTGACAGTTTTGAAGAATCGACGTGCTTCGCTCTTACCACCGCACTGACGAATAATGTCTAATGGCTTAGTCGTACACTTGTCCTCGACCTCTAATCATTTCGTCATTTTTGCCCATTTCAATAACAAGTCTATAGACTTCATAAATAATTAAGCAACTAGCCAATCGAATAACACACAACCGTGACATTCCGTCATTCTTTAACCGTACCGCCTGTCTATCGTGACGTTTCGACTTTGAAGTCCCACTCGTCACTTCATCATCCCTATATCTATAATTCTTCCGGATAACCATTTTTCCTACATTTATAGGGGACATCGTTCGAGTGGCTCATGCGCTAACTGTCACAGTCACCTTAATTTGTATTCCTACGCCGATATCATTCACACCATATGTATATATAGATTTTCGTCCATGTCTAAAGATTTCCTCTTATATGACTACAAGTATTATATTGAACGATTGAAGTTGCTTCCAGCTTCTCCATAACCATATCGAAAATGATTTCACAGCGACTGTCTGTCTATAAATAATCTGATGGTTGTTCGCGGACAGGCATAGAGACGAACAGTTGAAGCCGTGAAGTTCCTTCTAACAAGTCCATACGTACATTGATTATCGGCATCCGATTTCGACCTAGTCGATCAAAATCACTTGACATTCGCATTCTTAATCTGAATAAGAATCGAAGTCTTCTTAATAGCAAGAAGTGCTTTTAAGGTGGCAACAATGAGCAATACAGCTTCAAATTTGCTATTTAAACACTAGCCTTTATAGTTATACGAGAGAATTGGCATAAACTTTAAGCGCGAATAAGCTAAATTCGCTTATGTTGAGTAGAAGTTTAATAGCACCCACTCCATCTGTTCTTATTCAGTTTACTACGAAGAAGGCAACTAAGCGAAGGTATGCATTGCCGGAGATCCGTCCGAGACCACGCACTCATCCGTCTAATGCTAATATGAATAATGATTGTAGATATAAAGACAAAAAAGAATTCAAGTTGATTTTCCGCTAAAAACCTCTGGGCGAACCTCTTCACCAATGATCTCAGAGTATACAAATTTTTACGTGCAATGAATTATGCTTTGACATTAAAAATTTTAATTAAAATTTTTAAAGTTTACTTTAGCGACCAACCAAAAAAGTTCTCAGAGTAAACTGTCTTTAAGAAGAAGTTGGATTGTGTTTCGCTTGTAGCTATATTGAATGCTCAGTCGACAAAGGCGCATACCCACTAGGTTGCGGCCCAGACCTCCTTTTTTCTTTATCTTCCCCTTCATCTTTCTGTCAGCCACCTTCACACCATTGGCGATTAGCCGTATTAAAAAAAGAATATATATTTGAAATCGTTTCTGTTGCGGCCAAAATAATGTCTCTAACTTCCTAGCTTCCCGAAGAAAAATATTGAAACTAGTCATAAGATATATTGTGATTAGCATGTGTTTCTAATTGACTTATGCGCCCTGGATTGGATGGACAGACGAATATGATCGCTATATATGTATTATAAACCATGTTTACTGCATCTGTATAGCAAATCATTTCTTCCAATAATTGTATTATAAGATTTCCTACGGAAAAAAGGGCTGCTAAGCACTTTGTCATCTATTCGATAGCAAAACTGCTGCATACCACTGAAGACAACGATATCGAAAGTTGAAGAAAAAAAATATACACTTCTCCTCGTCTTTCTAGGACGAAATGCTAAGCGCAATTCTTGTGATTATGTAATTTTTGACGTATTAATCGAGCCATAAAATATTTCAGAGGATGAAGCAGTGTAATAGCTTCTCAGGTAATCGATTGGCAGAATAATAATATAGTAGGAGATTGTTAAGCAAATGCCTTCCGGGCATGGCAATACCGTCGTACAAGTACTACTTTGAAATAGTAGATCGGGAAATTTTGGATCATTCAAAATTTAGCCGCGCCCACAATCAACATTTTCTAAAAGTTTTAAAACAAATTTGTGAAAAATTCACAATTCATTTCCCCTCCCGCGCGCCTCTTTTTCAAACATAACCACTGTGCTGTGATGGTGCGAGTTAATGTAAATTAAATTACATTATAAATTAAAGTTGAAAACATTGAACATTACACTCTAGTAATAGCAAAACGAGTACGCTTTTCACTTCTTGTCACTCGAAAGTTGCTGTATATGTATTGATTTGTAATATTCACACGCATGCACTAGCAAATGTATTAAAAATCATTTGAAGGCGTCTCTGAAAGAATATTAATATCTTTACTTTTTCTTTCTTGATTTTTTTATTAACTCTGTTAAGGCTATTAAACAGCGTATAAATTAAGTTTATGTTATTGGGAAATGTTTATTTTAAAAATTTATACTTATTTATGTAAACAATAAAAGTTGTAAATTATATATCAATTGAAAGGAGATATTTCGATAAGAATTACTCATCCGCTCATTCACATTACCCCTCGGATTGCGGTAATTTTTCTTTTACCAGCCACCATGAAGCAAAGGCTGCGCCTATATCATCGAATCTAATCTACATAAATCTGTAAGGGCCTTTAAGTGCTCTACAAAGATCATGTGACTCAAAACAATTGATTGGACAATATCGAGCGTACGATCAACGAAATTTTCAAATGCATATCAAAATTGATAGAAGCTTTGATTGATATCAATCGTAGTGAGAAGCATTTTCGACTAGGAAGTAAGCTACCACTCTCTACCACTATGCAATTACACTTAAAGTGTTCTTAGCTAGAAAATGCTGACGCTTGTTGGCGAAAATCTCGATTTGATCCATACGAATATTCACCGATCGAAATGGAGTTAATATTGTAGTATTTTTGGGTTCGAATTTTGGCTACACAAGCCCGAGTTTCAAGCCCGAGTTTTCTGACTTTGCGACGAATATTTGACTTTTCGACAAAGAAAACCAGTAAAAAAATTATATTCGACTGAGATCGGATCTACAAGTGGACCAGAAAAAAGCCACATTTTAATGTTTTATAACATTGGATGGGAATGGCTGTTTTTTTCTATTTCATACATCCCCCCTTTCACAACCATGAGTACCTTTACCATAGCAGGTAAGAGACAGAGAGATGGAGAGACAAATAGTCCCCGAACTGTTCACATTTGACACTCAATCTGTAATATGTAGATTTTATATGGGTTTAACAGATCACGGTCCACAATCGATCCCATCAGCTTTCAATGCGGCGGGCTGAGGTCGCATTGGCATGGCCCTCATAAGGATGACGGTCTCTCGAAGCGTACGCAGGTATATGGGACAAACAACACTACAACAGTTAATGGCAGGCTTTCCACAAGGATCAGTGCTGGGTCTGCTCCCGCCGAACTTTATGTACGATGGCGTATTGGCAGCACATTGACAATGAATTTTGAAGAGGACGTTGCTCTCGTTTTCGTAATTAAGCACATTGGAAAGGTCGAGGACGCAGCTAATAGGGCAGTCGCTAATGTGAAATTTTGGCTAGCAGCGATGGGATCACAATTGGCTGAACATAAAACCGAGGTGGTGCGCATAAGCAGCCGAAAATGCGTCGGAACTATGTACGCAGGTCCATGCGACGAGCAGTCACTAGAGCAGTTTGGTACGTTCGCTAATAACTGGCTAAGTTTTAACACTAGAATTATCGATGTTTTCCATCTAACTATTTCTACCAAAAGGTACCATTTGGTCGACAGTATTTGTCGACACAACAGAATGGAGAAAGCGAATGCAGGAAGCTAGATTTTGGAATGAACATAACTTCATCGATTAAGAAACCAATGCTAAACAAATGGGTTGCGATCTACCTACATACATGCCCATCATAAATGAAAAACCAAAAACACCTTAAAAAAAACGATAATTTTTTCATATTATCGTCTATAAGTTAGGATTCTGTAGAAATCTTTCAGACAGCCTGCTACCTAGACGTTCGTCAAGTCCATCTTCAGGTGAACACAAAAGTGATCCTGACGAGTACTTGGGCCACAGGTTTCCCTGTGGCCCAATATTATCCCGGGATCGAAAGTTATAGAGCTTTTTCTGAGGTTTTTTGTTTTAATTTCTTGCGTATTGCGAAAGTACCCATAAGCAAATCATGATCAATTTTCGACCTACATACTGAACGCATCATGAAATGGCTAGGCCACACTTCAGGTTTCGAACTTCTTTTCTACGATTATGGCAAACCGACAAAAATAGAAGATCAAAACGATCACTTTTGGTAAAAAAACGATACTTTTAGTCTCGCAAAGTAGGTAACGTAGAAAAAAATTGATTGTAGTTATAACGCACTCGGTAGTTCTAGTGTCAAATTACATGCCCAGTGTGCGACGGATAAAGCGGCCGGGATTTAATCGGGTTTGGCACGCTTTATGCCAAATATCAGAGGACCAAGATGTGGTGCAAGAAAACCCATAGCACAAAAAAATGACAAGCGGATATGCGCCCTTCGAACGTTCTTGGAGGAAGCGATAGACCTCTTGCCGGATGAGTTATATTTAATTCTTATGAATTTCCCAAAAAAATACAAATATTTTTCTAGTATCTGAATTAAATCATGCACTATATAAAAATTTTATCCGACACAGGCCTTAACTGGTCACGGTTGCTCCCGAAGTTATCTGAATCGATTCGGATATGATAGTTTACCAAAACGTCCAAACTGTGCAGACGCCGAAGGTGATATGAAGCACATGATAATCAATTGCCCGAAATTCGTAATTGTGGTTCGGGCGAAACAATTGAGAGCACGACCGAAAGCCCCGAACCATGTGGCACTGTGACCAACTTCTCCTCTAAGGTGCTCCGGGAATTAAGGTGCTCCAGGAATTAAAGAAACAGCGTGCGAGAAAGTAAATGAAACCCAATAGGGTAGTGTCTGCGAATTAATTTGTAACGGTGGTCCCATGAGAGAGGGTGGCGAATAAAGCGTCTGTGGACGGTAGTTATAGTACGTAGGCGTTATAGTGCGTGGAAACCGAGCACTATTCGCCATAAATGGCAAAAAAAGAAACACACACACTCTCGCACACAAATTGTTTATCAACAACCAATACATTAATACCGATTTTTTCTCTTCTTAAAATTTCTTGCCTATTAACCTTAAAAAATCGTATACGAATCTCGCAAAAATTTCTTATTGAAATCTTGCTTCTCAGATAGAAAATATAAAAATGATATTTAGTCGTAACAACTTTGCTTCGTTAGCTTAGTGCTAAAGTAGAACTCTCTCTAAATGAAGTCTTTATCAATATCAAAAAAGGCCCCTAGGGGGCGTAAACAAAAAGTCGTAAGCATTTTAATTAAATGCAGATCTGTAAAGTTATAAACTTTCAGTGGCAAATATTTTAGGAAAATCGCTTACCATATGAATCTAAAGTAACACCTAACTAATTAGTGATCTTAACCGATAGATTGCTGTCGGTGCTGGCTCTACTTTGCCACAACAAAACATAAAGCGTTTTGAAATTTATGATTTAAGCTACATTAGCACTGCCAGAAAGATACGGTAACGAACTTGTAAGACGATCGATCTTCTCTCTTTTGATGAAGTTTGCAAGTAGTGCCACAGTTTTCGTTCAAAGATATAAAGGAAATGAAATGATAAAATGACTGAATATGATTATGCCAGTGACTTCAAATACGAGTGTGACGAACGCGTTCTTAAATTTAAAACAAATAAAGTCTATAACTAGCCAATGCAAATATAATGTATATCATGAATGAACGGAGTTTTATGTATGGAACGAACAACGTGAACGTGCCTTAAATTCTTATTGTACTCTTGCAACGAAAGAAAAGAAAAAGCACAGAAATGAAATGTGATGCTTGCTTATAATATTTCAAATTTTTAAAATGCAAAAATCTCCTCATTATAGACAATGTTATGCGAACAACATCAACCGAAAATATCTCAAGTGTTCTTCTTCGAAATTAAAATGCCGCCTTATATTATATAAAATCTATAAAAAATCGACTCTAAAAAGTACATTTTTATGAATAAACCCGAAAATCGAAGAATAGATATTCTTAAAAAGCAATCAAAAGGAAAATAGAAAAACATAAAATCTATAATAGAAAAAAAAAAAAAAAAAAAAAAAAAAAAAAAAATTGAATAAAAAATAAAAATATATGCCGTAATAATAAAAAAAAAAAAAAAACAAACTTGAGCACCTTAGCTTATTGCTTATACGAATTTCGATATTACATTGTATTCTTGTTCTTGTTTTCCTTCTTCTTCTTCTTCTTCTTCCTCTTATATATATATATAAATATATATACATATATATATAATTTTATATACATTTATATATACATATATATAAATTTGTTTTTTTTTTTTTTTGTTAAATTTATTTCATCACTTGTCATGTCAAAAAACTTGTCGTGTTAAAAAACAAAGCAATTACTATCACTACACCCACATGAAAATTGTAAAAGTGTTGTTGCCAAACAATGTTAGATATATTTCGTGGTTTAAAAAGCCTGATAAAGGTCAGCCATGTTGAAGCCGACTCGACAGTATTTCGTTTGCATTACTCATTGACTGTTGTGTTTTTAATGTCGTTCTCGTTAATTATTACTACACGACAATATGTCGGCAATCCAATCGATTGTGTTCATTCCAAGGACATACCGGAGGATGTCCTAAACACCTACTGCTGGATCCATTCGACTTATCTGATTAAAAGTTTTTTGCATAAGAAACAAGGTGTTTCAGTGCCTTATCCAGGTATCGGTAATTCGGATGGGGAGCTACATGAAAAGAAGCACTATAAGTATTATCAATGGGTTTGCTTCTGTCTATTTTTTCAGGTACGTTATATTTATTAACACTACAACTATCGCGTGGGTCAATTTGATCTGTTTCGAACTTTTAAAAATTTCATAAAAGGAGAACATTTTTGTATGCTTAAAAATCCATTTAATACCTATAATAAATTATTCTCTACCCGATCTGGTTTTCTATCAGAATGGACCATCTTGATCTATAACATTTTGAAGATACGAAATGGAAATGTGAAGATTGACAACTTGGTATGATCCGCTTACCTCTATGCCCACAATAAAGAAGTGACTGAAACGGATGTTGGAAAAACACCGATCTTGTGAGAAAGCGCCTCACTCCCTCGCATTAAGCCGATCCGTTCGCATATCTGACCCATCCGTCTGATAAACTCTCGAAAATTACGCTACTCAATGCTCCGACTCGATGCTAAGACGCCCAATCTTCTTTTCTGCTATAAACAAATGTACACACACACACACACACACGCGCGCACACACACACACACACATAATTAAAGTATTTACCTCCTAATATAAATAAACCAATCCTAGTATACGTATGTATAAAGTTTCTCATTACAAGCATAATTATTTTTGTTACTAGGCAGAGAGCCATAATCTTTTGTTGCTAAACAGACGATTATTATTATTCTCTTGTGTTAGGTACCCATACATATATACACTTGTCGCTTTCTTGTCGCAAGCACAGCTTCATTTATTCTTGTTACTAGGCAGAGAACGAGAATGTCTTGTTACTAAGCAGAGGATTCTTATTTTCTTGAGTGAGGCACACATGCATGCATAATCGGCTAAACCGGTTTTACTATTATTCGTAAGATTGATTTTAAATAATCTTAAGTATAAACACACTGTGATAATATAACGGTAGAACGATGTTAACGTTGATTATAAAAAACCCGGGAGCCACCGCAATCGATCATGTTGTGTTACGGCAGCCAAAGAGGTAAATTCTCTAGCACTGAGACAAAAGTTTGACCGTACAAGCAGGCAGTGGCTGGCTTAGCTTAGCTATCGTTTCCGACTATTTATCTCTACTGGTAGGAGATAACTGGCTTAGCTTAGCTGCTAATCCTGAATAACCACTTGGACGCATCGGTGCAGAGTATACTAGGTTAGGGTCACAGATGCTATTGTGTGACTGGCTGCCGTAACGCAACGTATTTGTTTTCAGGAGCAAAAGTATTATATTGTAACCCGTGAAGCTGCGAGTGCGAAATCAATAGCGGCTTTGGCTGGGCTGGTGTTTTTTTATATACTTATTTTTACTTTCGTGGTCTACGTTCCCTACACTAAGTCATGAGGACATTTCTCGTTCCTACCAACGCATAAAATTACAAATGTAACAACAAACTCAAACGTCTAATTGTTTTTATTCTATAAATGTCTTGGAAACGGATCTGAGTTTATACTCCGGCTAAGAAGCATCGTTACAATACTTTCATATAGAAAACTTCGGTTCGACTATTCGGCATATTCGCCAAGATCACCTTTATGCTTAGTCCCAAAATGGTCCCGTTCGATTTGCTAACACGACGACAGTTAACAAGAAAATTGTAACTCCATTATATTTTCAATCCACTCTACTGCACACGAGTAAGTTCTTCACCCTATAAGAACATAAATTAGCGATAAACTGGAAAATATGAAAGACAATTCAGGAAAAGGGGGGGAAAAACTTATTGTCAATGTTTCATCAAGTAACTTGCGATAAGTTGAAGAAATTCTTGGTAAATATTCTGATTAAGTATATAGAATACGTTGATCTAAAAATTCTACTCAAACACACTCAAACCCACTTATAACAAAAAATTACGATTATGCCTTAGGATTAGTCAGTAAGCGCCTGCAAATTTGTATCTCTACCTCTTCTACGGATTGCGAAAAGATCGAAAATTTATATTGAATTTGTCCGAAACATGCATGATTTCGGAGGAAAGCTACTTAGGATATGTACAAGGAATGAGTGAGATCTAATTGATGATCGTAAAAATAATTTTCGATAGCATTAACTTTAGACATACTTAAGATACCTTTAACCGTACAATAAAATGAAGTAATTTATTATAGCCCAAGTAATTGCCAATAATGTCAAGAGCATATAAAGGCACAAATATTTAAAAGATAATACATTTTAATTAATTACATTCTATTTAATCAAAACACAAATAAAATGTTGCGAAAAGAAAACAAAAAAAAAAAAAAAACAAAAAACAAAAAACAGTTCATATGTAAATATTTACAATAGAAAGCGAACAAAACGGACAGAAGGAAAAAAAAAAAGAAGTTCGAGAAATATATTCATATTTACGCAAAATATATAATATAAGCCACTCTAAGAAAAGATATATTGAGAAGCATAACACAATTTTACATTCTGCTCATTAAAGTAATGTAAGAAGGCCTACTACGTAAAGACACAAGAATATCTA